TTGTAACAGGAAAGTGAAACTCAAGACTCGCTGCTTTACTTCACTATAAAATCTGTTTAAATTTCACACTTCCTTCTTCTTTTTTAGAACTCAGAGCTATTTCCTCCATTTTTGTTCTTTTCTTTGATATTTTTTATCACGTAAATGTTTTATATCACGCAGCGCTGACTCTTGTGAGGTTTAAGTCGTGTTATAATGTTGTTCCCTCGTCAAAAACAGACCTGGAGTTTTGTTTTTTCATTCACATGTTTGAGTAACTCTGCATTATTAGTCTGTCTACGTCTCCAAAACTCAAAATCAGGTGTCAAACTCAAATTCACAGAGGCCAAAATTAAAAACTGGGACTAAGTCGTGGGTCAAACTAAATATTTATTGAAAGATTTAATCAACATCAGGGCCTGATCAAGCAGAAGTAAACAACAAGGCCAAAAATTCAAGTGAATTCATCTGATATAAAAATGTATTGAACAGATACATATGTTCTCTAGTTTATCAAACTGTTGACCTTTTTTCTGTTCCATTTTTGGTTCTAAAGTTCCATATGTTTTAAACAGACCATGTATGAAACATGGAACAAAAATTATTTCCCAAATTTCAAAGACCTGAAAATCATGTAAATAAATGTTTGTATTTCATCATATCTTGTGTTATTCCATCTTTGAACTGTTGGTGAAGGGACATGATTTAAAAAAAAATGTATTTAAAATGATAAAAATGTTCTTGGAAGGACTGACATATTTTATAGAAATAGTTTCTTTCATTTTGAAGTAATATTAAAGTTTTCAGAAGAAAAAAGCGACAAATGATGTAAAATCCTGCACCTTCTACTTGTTTGTACAATTTTCCCTCCGTTACTTTTCCCTCCGTTACCATGAACTTTCTTAATAAAAAATCTCATGAGTCAAAAAGTCAGAGGTTTTTCAACCTAATCTTGTACCATATGGTAGAAAACTATATGAAGCAAATATTCAAACCAGTTTGTTAAGGATATGTAAGTGAGAACCAAGAGTTATCACTGTTTGGATTTATTGACCAAAAAGTGCTGCATATTTCATTCCCTCCGTTACCGACATGAGTTTTTAAATTTTTTGTCAACAACTTGAAAGAATCTCACAGGTTTAACTTGACCCTGTTGGAGTGTAACTCTTTCCTACATTCTGATACTTTACTTATTTCAATAGTTCCTCTAGTTTCTGAATAAGAGACATTTGAATGTCAAAAATCTGACCCTGTTTCCCTCCGTTAACACTTGACTGGAACCCTTCTGCATGTTTTCTCTTCTTTCGAGACCTGTAATGTTAAACCTTTTCTTATTAAAATAAATGTTTAATAATAGTTTTGCTTAAACATTGAATCCAGAACAAAATAAATAAATACATAATTTTACATAAATTTTAAATAAATAATGTCTCTATATTTTATCTGTAGGCGGCGGGCAGCTCTAATACAGATCAGATCTGATCTCGAGGGTCTAGTATAATTATATCGTGGGCCAAATTTGAGTCTGAGTTTGACATGTCTGCTCTAAATGCTCTGTTCCACCTTGTGATGTCATGAAGTGGTAGTTTTCAAGTGAACAGCTCCTTTTACCTTTAGATCCAATTCCAGGTCTGAGATGATCCAAATGATTTTAGTGAAGCAGGTGTGTGGAGTTTAAAAACACAATGGAGCACTTCCTGTATCACCACATGATGACATCACAAGGTGGAACTCAGCCTAAATGTGCAGGTTTGTGTGTTAAACGTGTGAACGAAACAAAACACAACTCCAGGTCTGTTTGTGATGAGGAAACAACAATAGAACATAAATCAGAAAACAGCCTAATATTGGACCTTTAATAATAAAAAAAATGCCAAAAATAACAGAATTATTAAATCAAAATGCCAAAAACAGAGACATAATTTGTGATTTTCTTAAATAATAAATAAAAATACACTTAATTCCCAAATATTCTCTTATCTAGAAGCATCGGCCACATAGTAATTATAGATGTTTGAAGAAACAGGCTTTTTCAGTTTAAATGTGCACTGTGTAACTTTTTGTTTGAGGCTCCGTCACCTGCTTGTTTCTATGGATACGTCGCTGCTCTGCCTGGAATGTTCCGCAGTGTGACATTAAACAACTCTACTTTACATTTATTCAGTTCCAGGTGGTTTTAAAGCTCAAAAATTCCTTGAAAAACAGACATTCTCCACAGATCTGACCTGGAACTTGGTCTGGTTTGGTCTCTATGGAGATAGAAAGGTTTAATGACACACTGCGGAACATTTCAGACAAAGGAACAACATGTCACCTTTAATTCACAGATATCCTCGTCTGCAGAAGTAAAAATGTGCAGTGTAAAGACGCAGTGAGCTCAGCCGCGCAGTAATTATGGATTTTTGAAGAAACACAGATTTTTTTTTCTATTTAAATGTGTCTCTATAAATAAAGGGCGGCTTTACAGTTTGGAGCCATTATTAAAACTTCACACGTTTTGGATTGGTCCCGGTGCCAAAATTTCACCAGTTTTAGATAAACAAGAAGAAATCATTAACATACTGCAAACCGGGCGAAATGAACATCCACGTTTTACATGAAGAAAATATAAATGTTTACAATTACTGGGGAAAAACATGAGGGAAAAAAACAAAAAACAGAATTGCTTGTGTAACCCACCCAAGTTTTACTCATTAATTTGGGAGTGTGTTCCTTTAAATTTCATTTAACTGTGTGGTGTCATATGCGCCCAGTAGGGGGCGCTGTAAGTTCTGTTGCAAATGCATCGCCGTCTTGTGAAGAAACTGGACAGCACATGTCAGATATATTGTGCAAACATGTGGTAAAATATTGCTTCAATTGTTAAATAACAACTTGTTTCTGGTTCTTAGAGATAAATCAAATTGTAAAAAGTTCTGGAGAGGAAGATTTGTCCAGGTTTTCAGGTGTGTTAAAGTGATATCCTGGCTTCATTTTGTTTTCTACCTTGACTTAACTACAAGATGCAATGACCAATTATTATTGACCTGATTCAGAGAATGTATGAAAAACCAACTGGAGAAACATATAACTATGTACAAATCAGAACTTCTATACAGATGTTAAGGGTTGTTACACGTCCATGTGCCGCGTGTTGAAAACTGCACATTGTGTAAAAAACTACAAGCTGCTGTAATCCAGTTAAAAGTAGTTTGAAATGATTTGAACCAGATCTGAATTTGTGCTTTGCGAAAATTGTATTAATGTTGCCCTGTTTATGCAGGTTGGTTTTTTTTGTTGACCTGATTCGACCTGGGACTGTTCGCTGTGAGACTGGTTTCAAAATGGCCGCCCATTCAAGTCTCTTGGCTGAGCTCAGTGGTTCGTGATCCCAGGTTCGTCTAGTCCGGCCAGGTGCTTCCGGCAGCTGTGGGCCGACGGAGCATGTGCATTAGAGTTCTTTTCTCCCATGGGCACACGCGAATGCACACGACCGCACACATGATGCGCGGGCTCGTGTGTCACGTGATCGCTTTGACCAATCAGAGCAAGAGGAGTTAGAGCGGAGCCGAAGCGAACGATTATAAACTGTTTTAAGACAACTGAAGGATTTTGAGCTGAAAAAAAGTTTATGATCTAAAAATAGGTAAAAATCGCCAACAAATCCAACATTTTTTAAAGCTGTAGATGACCTGTCAGACGAACACGAGCAGTTTGTGATCACTTTGCCTCTATGAGAAAAATCTTCTCTCGGCCCATGGGATTTTTTCTGCTGAAGTTCCAGTGAGTCACTACATCAACTGGAGGCAGCAACAAGCAGCAATACTGTATCCAGTTATTTGAATAGGTCCATGGGCTGGAGTCACTGGATCCAGGACCTGTGGACCTGCTGGGTCCTTCAGGTCTCTCCACGGTGGAACTGGCCTTCATTGAACAGCTGAATTAAGCTAAGATCTTGTGCACCAACGAAAGAAAGAAACAAAAAATCATACTACCCAGGTAGATGAGACACAAGAGGTTTTTTTCAGAGCTTTTTTATTTTGAAAGGACAAATTGTTGGACAAAGGACTGATTTATGTCGGGGTAAACTGGTCATATTTGGGGAAGAGTATTGATTCTGTTCAATACATTTTGTGCACTTTTCTCATTTCAACCTACGGTCCAAATTTATTACACCTTCTTTCCTCCTTTAGAACCTAGATTCCTGGGTACACGTATCATTCACATCTTACTAGTTCGTTTGGTACAAGTTACACTTGAGTTTTGCTTTCACCTCGTAAACCCTTCCAGCCCGACGGTTTCATATACGAAACCTGGAAATATGTTTTATAAAATCGAGCATAACTTTCCAACTATAAAAGATAGAAACTTTTTTCCTTAAAAATCTGAAAGTTGCAAAAACGAGTGTCCAATAGGAACTTTGTTTTGGGTCAAACTCATTCGCTCCGTCCATTTTGATTGGTCCAACCTTTGCCAAAGAGTGTAGTGAGTCAAAATGGTCGATGCTCTGAGCGTCTGTGTTTGTAACAATTGAAAAAGTCGCTCTACGTGCAATTATTTCTCAAATAAATGGAAAATTACGCCTCTTGGTCTGCATCATTGCGCATCCCTTGCTATTTTTATTTTCAAATTTTTATTTACACTAGATACAATATCACGATATTTCGGCTATTCTTACGTCCCTAATGGTCAGATTCTGCAGGTGAAAAGGAAAAAAAGTGACATTTAGAGATATAAATGTGAAACTTTTCCTGCCCGATTCCATGGAAACAGAAAGTTAAAATCATACTTCGGAACATTCTTCATGGAGATAGTTCGTTTTGTACAGTACTGTGGAATATTACAGCAAAAAGAACAACATCTCCACGGAAACTCAAAGTCTTTTTCAGTGAAATAAACACATATTTTTTTGGTTGAGAACATCATACTGACCAAAATATCTGCAGCTTTGTGATCATTTTGACTGTGATTCTCGTTGCTCTATGACAGTACACACACGTATGTAAAAGTACACAAGTATAAGTAAAAGTAAAAGTACTCACTGTCCCACTTCATAGAGACTCGGGGCTGGACACAGCAGATAGTCGTTCTGAACCTCACTCGGCTTCTGACCTGGACAACACAAAGAACAGCACAGTTTAGGTTCTCTGCATTTTTATTCCACTATTTATTTTTCTAAACTCTGGGGAAATAGCAGCCGGTGGATTAAAGCCCCACTGTGGGAGTTTTCAGCTAAAAATACAACAAAAAGCTTTTATCTGACAGTGTTATTGGAGTTTTTATTGTAATACATTTATGTTTTTTTTTATTTCATTCATGACACAGATTCCTACTTGGTGGATTTTGTTCACCTTTGTTCTGATTCTTACTGAGGAGCTGCTTTAAATCACAATCAAGGGATTTTTTATTATTATTATTTTTTTTACACTTGAATTTGCAATAATTAATTCAAAGATGTTCATTTTGTCTTCTTATGTTCTTCCAAACTGTCCATGAAACAGGACTTTACATTTCATTAAAATATCTTTAAATACTCATTTTTGTTACATTTTTCAAGAGAATTCTGTATTAATTTGAAACTTCTTAAATAAAATAAAATATTACAAAGACAAAATAATTATAAGAGTGACGGCAGCAGGAGTCGAAACATGTCAACAAGGTAAAAACACTTTACACTGTATTGTCTTTAAAAATAACCCAAGAAGTTAAAGTTATTGCAGCAATGAAGCCATGTTTTTATTTAGATGTTATTTTATAGACTATTTGATTTAAATAATGAATGTTTTGTCTTTGTAATATTTTATTTTATTGAAGAAGTTTCAAACTAACACAGAATTCTTTTGATAAATGTAATAAAAATTTGTATTTAAAGATGTTTTAATGAAATGTAAAGTCCTGTTTCAGAGACAGTTTGGATGAAACGAGCCGCGAGTGTCTCTGTGTGTCTCTGTGTGTGTCTCTGTGTGTGTGTCTCTGTGTGTCTCTGTGTGTGTCTCTGTGTGTCTCTGTGTGTGTCTGTGTGTCTCTGTGTGTGTCTCTGTGTGTCTGTGTGTGTCTCTGTGTGTGTGTGTGTCTCGTGTGTGTGTGTCTGTGTGTGTCTCTGTGTGTCTGTGTGTCTCTGTGTGTGTCTCTGTGTGTGTCTCTGTGTCTCTGTGTCTCTGTGTCTCTGTGTGTGTGTCTCTGTGTGTGTCTCTGTGTGTGTCTCTGTGTGTGTGTCTCTGTGTGTGTCTCTGTGTGTCTCTGTGTGTCTGTGTCTGTGTGTGTCTCTGTGTGTGTCTCTGTGTGTCTCTGTGTGTGTGTGTCTCTGTGTCTCTGTTGTGTGTCTCAGTGTGTCTCAGTGTGTGTCTCTGTGTGTGTGTCTCTGTGTCTCTGTGTGTGTGTCTCTCAGTGTGTCTCAGTGTGTCTCTGTGTGTGTGTGTCTCTGTGTGTGTCTCTGTGTGTGTCTCTGTGTGTGTCTCAGTGTGTCTCAGTGTGTCTCATGTGTGTGTGTCTGTGTGTGTGTGTGTCTGTGTGTGTCTCTGTGTGTGTCTCTGTGTGTCTCTGTGTGTCTCTGTGTGTCTCATGTGTGTCTCTGTGTGTGTCTCTGTGTGTGTCTCTGTGTGTGTCTCTGTGTGTGTCTCTGTGTGTGTGTGTGTCTCTGTGTGTGTCTCTGTGTGTGTCTCTGTGTGTGTCTCAGTGTGTGTGTGTCTCTGTGTGTCTGTGTGTCTCTGTGTGTCTCTGTGTGTGTCTCTGTGTGTGTCTCTGTGTGTGTCTCAGTGTGTCTCTGTGTGTCTCAGTGTGTCTCTGTGTGTGTCTCTGTGTGTGTGTGTCTCTGTGTGTGTCTCTGTGTGTCTCTGTGTGTGTCTCTGTGTGTGTCTCTGTGTGTCTCTGTGTGTCTCTGTCTGTGTGTCTCATGTGTCTCTGTGTGTGTCTCTGTGTGTGTCTCTGTGTGTGTGTGTGTCTCTGTGTGTGTCTCTGTGTGTGTCTCTGTGTGTGTCTCTGTGTGTGTCTCTGTGTGTCTCTGTGTGTGTCTCTGTGTGTCTCTGTGTGTCTCTGTGTGTGTCTGTGTGTGTCTCTGTGTGTGTCTCTGTGTGTGTGTGTGTCTCTGTGTGTGTCTCATGTGTGTGTCTCTGTGTGTCTCTGTGTGTCTCTGTGTGTGTCTCTGTGTGTGTCTCTGTGTGTCTCTGTGTGTGTCTCTGTGTGTCTCTGTGTGTGTCTGTGTGTCTCTGTGTGTCTCTGTGTGTGTCTCTGTGTGTGTCTCTGTGTGTCTCTGTGTGTGTCTCTGTGTGTCTGTGTGTCTCTGTGTGTGTCTCTGTGTGTGTCTCTGTGTGTGTCTCTGTGTGTCTCTGTGTGTCTCTGTGTGTGTGTGTGTCTCTGTGTGTCTCTGTGTGTGTGTCTCTGTGTGTGTCTCTGTGTGTCTCTGTGTGTGTCTCTGTGTGTGTCTCTGTGTGTGTGTGTCTCTGTGTGTGTCTCTGTGTGTCTCTGTGTGTGTGTGTGTCTGTGTGTGTCTGTGTGTGTCTCTGTGTGTGTCTCTCTGTGTGTCTCTGTGTGTGTCTGTGTGTCTCTGTGTGTCTCTGTGTGTGTGTGTCTCTGTGTGTGTCTCTGTGTGTCTCTGTGTCTCTGTGTGTCTCTG